GGTACTTTCAAACAAGGATAAAATTGTGTTTTAACAAAAAATTATTTGGTGAACTAATTTAGAAATTATGTTAGGCCATCAGAGTATTCATATCTACATATGCCTATGTACCTTTATATATGACTATCTGTCTAAAAGCAATAAAGTTAGAGGGTGGAAAAAATGAGGGATAAACTTTATGGCATCACTGCTCCTAATCGTTAACTAGTTCTCCGATTTTTCACAAAATTTCTTTGTTCTAAATAAAATTACATTCAATATTTAAGCTCTTACATACGGTATGTATAGTAGGGTGCCTCACCAAAAAAGCTACGGTTTTTTCATCGGAATTATAAATTTGATTTGATTTTAAGACTTCCTCCAAAATATTTCTGGAAAATACTAAGATTTGCGTAAGCTGGACTGATTTGAAAAATATCTCTAAAAATCTCATTTGATTCCGTTGATAAAATTTTTAAATGTTTTAATGCACACCTTTTAACTTAAGCTCTTCCATCATCCAATGTGTTTTAAAAAAATTTTAAAAAATAATATTCTTTATAAAAAACTTGATTTTTGGTGGTATTTTCCAATCGGTCCAGCCAAGGCCGTATTTAGGGGCGGGGGGGGGNGGGGGGGGGGGAGGGGTTGTAGGTGTTCTGACCCCTCCCCCCGCCGAAATGTAGAAATGTCGGATTTTAGGGCCCTAAAAACTTTAAAAAAAGGCAAAATCAGCTTTGAAAAAAGGCAAAAAAGGAAAATATTTTTTAATTTTGTTGTGTACTTCCTTTATGTACAATGTGCATGTCCAATTAAAGATATTAAAAAATACATACAGCGGTCAAAAAATTATAGCCGAACCACTTTTTGCCAAGTTTTAACGTGTTATTTTCGTTGTTATTTAATTTTGGTAAATTTTTTTTCTATGAAAATATAGTTAATTCTTTAACAAATCCCGTGTAATTCCAAGTTTCCAAATTTGTGCAATATTAAAAAAAAATCAACAAACCTTAGTACAAGTTTCGAGGTTTTTTAAAAATTCTAAAAACTCAATCGCAGTTTTTAGCCATTTGAAACTTGTACTTTATTCTACTACAACTGCGTACTTAGAATCTTATTAAAAAATTAGAAATTTTAACGAAAATTTGTTGAATTTTTTTTAAATTGCATAAATTTTTAAGGCAGTGTCACTCGATTGGTACATTTGTACAGATTAGGACATTTTTATTTTGGGCTATTGGTACAAAATAAAAAAATGGGCACTTTTCTTTGTAGTCAAGGGATTGGTACAATACAGCGATGTTCTATTGAAATATTTCAACAATCTAATTTTCGTGATTGGGATAAAGAAAAATATTTGGGTATTCACACAGTTGGGATACGATTTCCACCAAATTTTGGCAAATACCCAATCGTGTGACACTGCCTTTACACTTGTATTTAGACGGATGTTGTTAAAGAATGAACTATAAAAAACTAACCAAAATTAAATAAAAAGAAAAATAATATTTTAAAACTTGTGAAAATTTGGTGCGGCTATAATTTTTTCGACTACTGTACATTAGACTGCATCGCCACAAAAAAAGTTGCGGTTTTTCCGGCGGGATTACCAAACCTAGCATATTTTAAGACTTCTATCAAAATATTTCGGAGAAATATTAAGATTTTCGTGAGCTGGACCGGTTCGAAAATACCTCTAAAAATGTAGTTTTTTATGAATAAAAATAGTTTCTTAAAGGATTTTTTTTGAAAAAATCCCCCAGATTACTAAACAGTTTAAGCTTAAACAGTTTTCATAAAAATATTAAATAAAAATTTTAAACGGAATCATAATAATGAGATTTTTGATGCTGTTTTTTAACTTTTTTCAAAGATTATTGTAAGAAAAACTTGAATAACTGCTTTACCGATATAGACTTATGAGGTATCAGTGGAGAGGTATTTTCGCACCCTTTTTGTTTTGTATGTGGAGTGATGCAGTCTACTGTACATAAGTTAACTATGATTACTGGGCCGTGCTGTCATAGTAGCACAATGCCACTAAGTGCATTTTAAAATTTTCAGGCAATAGCCCCATGCGATTATCGATTATATTTTTTGTTGTTTGTGTGTTGTGCCTACGGCCCTGGTCCAGCTGACGTTAATCTTAGTATTTTTCTGAAAGAACTTAACGGTAGCTTCAAATTATAATAGATTTTATAATGCCGATGGGAAAAAAGTAAGTTTTTTTTTGTTTTTGTACGAAGAGTGTTCGATATCGTAACCCAATTTTGACCATCTAATGGCCTTAATAGGCTTCGATTTTCTTCATTCCCGTAGCCAAAAAAAATATTTATCCAAAAAAAACTTTGGATTTGCATTGTGGCCAATGGTAACCATCAGTTACCACCTCTGCATGGCTGTGAGTTGCGCAAAGTCTGCAAAGAACTCCGGTTGTCCGGCGGATGCGGCAGACTACGCTGAGTATCGGTAATGTATTTACAATAAATTTATGTATAGGCGGCTATTTCCAACGGTAACTAAGTATGTACACCACCTCCGTACGATGAAAGTAATACAGAGCCCCGACGGCTGGTAGGGCTGGTTTTTTTCCTTTTATAAACTCCAGATTTTACGGGGGATTTGTCAAGCTAGTGTGAGCATGATTTGAGGTGCCGTCAACATATTACTTGAATAAGCCCCGTTACCGGACACTTGAGAAGTGCATATGCAAAAATTTCATAAACTACGAAGCGAAAATGTTTGCACATGCAGCTGTGCCCTTTGTATGCGGGTTTATGGAAGATGTACGTTAGGCTGGAGTGAAATCGTTAAAAAAAAAAAATTTATAATTTTGTTTTTGGTATAATTAAGATTTTTACTTTAATGGAACATTTTAATTACCCAGGATTAGCGAATAAAAAAAAAAATCGCTCCACCCTAATGTAAATAGTATGCATTTAGGCTGCTAAGCACATTATTTTACAATAAAATTAGTCATAGTTAGTGAGAGGGCTCTTTTTAGTATTAAACAATCTGAGGAATAATTTAAAGAAGATTGCTAAATCTATATATATTAACAGCAAATTACAAGTACTTGTTAACTGAATATGCAATATGAAATTACAACTTTTTTACAACTATGTATGTATGTACTTACTTATGTATGTATTTGTTTAAAAATATTTTTATGAACACTCACTGCCTACTATGGAAATCTTTACAAAAACTAAGTACATATTTTATATGTCAGATGTGTTTTAAATTAACAAACTTGATATATCAATTTGTAGAATGAACGAATGTATGAAATGTCTTATACGCACACAATTAGTTACAAGACCGACTAGGATGGATACGAAAAATGATTTGAAAAGAATGTACCAGTATGTATTAGTAGTAGTTACAAATATGTAAGTATGTAGTAGTTGGAAATAAATTTTGTCATTTAAAATTAAAAAAAAACCAATACTAAATGAACCAAACATAACACAAATGCAACTATCTTTACAAACTAACAGATAAAGAAAAACAAATATTAATTGAACGCCTAACTTAAATTACGATTGGAAATATTTTGTTAGGCAAATACAAATATATAAGAATATATTATATACTTGTATATGTATTTATTTTTGTCTTTGTATAAATATATATATATATATATATATATATATATATATATAAATACCTATATATATATATGTATATATATATATTTGTTTTGTTTCAAGGCTAATCTCAATTGTATACTAGCGTACATACATACATTTCTAAGACAACTAATCAGTAGGAACTCGCTGAACTTACCTGTTATAGAGCAAAGCAGGCGTAGTGTTGGTGTATTGCCGGAATATTGATTTATCATACCCTGACTATGTGCTTTCGGTGCGGGCATACTCAACGTGATGGCCTTATGGAATTTACGACGTCGTGGCTCAACTGTTACAATTGGTGAAACGGCCACACCACGACCAAGTAGTTTAGCAGTTAGATCTGGATCGACAGGTTGTGCCTAGAATGAGGTAAACANCATGTGAATTGCTGGGAAAGTCCTAATTAAAGTTGAAACTTTGTGTGAGTTTATTGGTTTATGGCATACACTGTGAAAAATACGTAATGCCGTGAGCAGTGGCCATCTTGGATGAATATTCAAAACCATTAGCTCATTGGAAAGTATGTAGCAAATCTTTTGAGCTGAAGAAGCGCAAGTTGAAGCGTGGCTTTGGCAGTTTAAAAATGAAGATTGGTTAATCGCCGTAATGTAGGCTGCATTCTAGTAAAGACTCGCAGCTCGTTACACTCTTTAAAGCATAAATTTTTCTGGTTTTCGTTTAATTAGAATTTCTATACTAACAAAAGTTCAGGCCCATTAGCTTCCCAATAAATTTAGTTATCAAATAAACTTTAAGCGCTTAAATTTCAATAACATTACGTGTATTTAGAGGGCCGTTGAAAAATCACTTTGTATATATAGTAAAACACTACAGGCATACGCATATACAAAACTCTAGGTTTCCGCACATTCGAGGCACACTAATCCAGACCCAATTGCAACATAAACTACATATATATATTTACTATAGGCATTTATATATGCTTGTATGTACATATACATATATGTATTCAACTAAATATCTTTACTAAATATTTATGACTTTATCTTACAAATTCACTGCCAACCTTTTGAATACTGAATACAAAAAAGTTAAAGAAGCAGTGAAATGTCTACTAATTGAATGAAAAAAAAAAAAACATTTTCATTTAAAGTTTATGTTCGAACTAAATTTATTGGGTATTTTTCGTTTATCCATTAAGTATAACTTTTTTATATAGTAGGTAAATATTAGATAAATCAGTAAATAAGCAAAAGTATTGCGTACATGTGTTGATATAAATTTAGGTATGTACTTTGCGTTGTATATATGTAGTAGAATATAATTTATTTAAATCTTAAACGTTTTAATGTCGCCATTTATTTGACGCTTATAAATAGTTTTGACGAGTATTAAGGTTTTGCAATTTTTTCTTACATTGCATTCTTAAATTTCCAACTAACATAGCATACTATGAATAGTATTGTAAGTTTTTATTGATATTTTGTTTATAACCCTTTTATTATTGTATTGTTAAGGATAGATAAAGATATTCATATTTTCTATTCACTAATAACTATGTATGTATGTATGTATGTGTATTAGACCGTACCACCTTAAAGCAAACAAAGGAGGTTCACCATACAACCCTGAGTCTAAAATAAATTGAAAAGGCAATTTCGAAAAAATAAATAAATTTTTTTTTGGCCGCACGTAGCGTTTGCCTTTTTCCGTTTTTCGTCATATCTTCAGCATTTAGAATCCGATCTTAAAGTATGATTTATCGATGTTCTTATCTCGAGGAGACGATTTTTTTCTACCGTTTTTACCACCCTAATGTCAGTTAATTTCAGCTAGCCAAAAATCATTGAACTTTAGTAAGGAAGTACTTCGATTCGAAGGCGATTTCGGTTTTTTTTTGGCCGAAAGTAGTGAGTTTCAGTCGATTCTTATGATGTTTTTGTATCGAGAAGAAAAGTTTTTTGTTCCAAAGTTCATTGACCTCAAGCACACCATTCGAGCATTTACCCATCTGATATTAGTTCCTATCACTCTTACCGAACCACCGTATTGTCAATAAATGAAAGCTAACCAAAATCCATTAAACTTTTTCTAAGGGCGTATTTCGATTGTTCCAGTAGACCTTTTTAAATTTGTTTTTTGCCGAACTTGCTTGCTTGTAAGGTGGTAAGGTCTAATGTACATACAGGCTGTTTCATCAAGATGCTCGAAATTATAGTGTAATCCTGTATATTAACTATTTTGAAAAATCCAAATGATTAAAAAATTCAAATTCCAGGCAATTTTCACAAAGATAAGTTTTTCAAAAGTATACTATGGCATGCGCAATTAAAGATTCTTCTAGTCTAGAGTGGAATTCGGAGGTCAGAAGAACTTCTTGCGCTTACAAATCTGCAGCTCTGACTGTTGGTTGGAGTTTTTACAGGTCAGTGTATAATTGGCATTCACATAATATGGCTGGTAATCTTTTCTACTCCTGTCGCAACTGGCAAAAGGGTAATGAGCTGCAATCACCTCAGCACATTCTCTTAGGCTTTCCAGTCATCGCGAGGCTAAGGTTGAAATATTTTGCCTCGCACTTCCTATCTAACAATCGAGGTCGAAGGTTGGCGTGAGAGCATGAGAATGCCGGACTTGGTGAATGTTTACACAAATGGTCCGAAGATGAACAACGGTGCAGGCGCGGCTGTATTTTGCGCGGAGCTGGGTCTTTGTTAGCCCTATCAGCTGAAGCGCTACAGTAGCATTCTCCAGTAATTGTTTAATTGTTGTTTTACTAGTACAAGTCTCATTAGACAAGAGTTTTATTAAAAGTCGTGTTATGCGTACATTCATACATACATATGTATTAAAATAGGATTTAAGGTGTACATTCCCTGCGACTAGCCTTGACAGAACTGTCCAGCCAACTTAAATATTTTCTCCTACCGCCGAGTACAGCTAACCTATTAATTGTGTTTTAACATTTATATATGTGCGTCAATATGTTTTGTCCGACACTATATCTATGTGTGTACATATAAAGTACATATCTACATATATATTAATTTTTGATTACCATGTTATCTTAATGGGGTTAGTGATTCCTGCCAACATGATGCAAAATTTTAATAATAATAACTAGTAGTAAACTAAGGTTTTGATATTCTTAAGTTTTTTTATGAAAACCTGCACTTTTTTATCTGTAACATTTTTTATTTAAAGTATGTATGTCTATCTTTTACTAAATAAATTTGCAATTTTCCAACTTCTGTATAGGGTCTCATTACCCAACCTGATATTTAGCGGACCTCATGTCAATAAGTTCAAAACTTCTACTTGTTTCATTCATCCCAAAATTCTAAACTATTTGTTTGACGCCATAATTAATTTTCTCAGCATTGCTTTTTGTTTGTGCCAGAATCAATCTACCCATATTTTGGAGAAAAAATGCTCCAAAGACGTATGCAGCGTCTGACTAAACTAACTACCCGAAACAGGTTTTTATGGTAGGATTAATCTTGATGCTGGGCGTAGGGAAACCCCTATGGTTGACAGCCGAGCCCACAGTACTTAGTAATCTTCTGATTTGGAAACTTTACAAAATAGAACTAGAAACTTTTAAGTCTGAAATCAAGAAAACAAAGAGGTTTTCCTGCCGAGTCTTCTGTTGTGCAAGGTTTCGTTCCCAGGATGTCAGATCTCTAGTAACCTTGGGGTCGAAGCTGAGCTTTTAAGGCATGATCAGTGACAGAGTTGTTGCGTCAAAGTGATGTGGTGCCACAGAGTAGTACTCTCTTAACTCTCCGACTATGTTAGTCGGAAAGCTAGAGCGTGTGCAGCGGGCTGCCTCATTTTAATCAATGGAGCTCTTAGGACCCCTTCCACATTGGCTCTTAGCGTCATTATCGATTTTGATTGCAGAGTTATCCAACTCACGCTTAGAAAAGTAAAGCCCTGCCATTTGATAGATATGAGTACTTTGATTTTTATGTATGTCTATCCACCTAACGGCGCGTTAAAAGTATAAATTCAGCTACCAAAATGGCATTTTCGGACATTTTGAAGAAAATCTTCTTGAGTTCTGAAGCCCAATTCACCCTCGGCAGGTTTTTAATAAGCAAAATGGTCAGATCTGATATAGGCAGCTGTACCTTGTGGCGCCGTGTGGTGAAAGATTTGTACAGAAATACTCTAGGTACTCTAAAGAAATAGCAAAATATTCCGTAGACTTATCGTTTCACACTGACAGACCCCATATAAGCTGCGGCAAAATGTATTAATGAAATTCGGTATATATTACTTAGTCCACGCCCGCTATATATATGTATTATGGGGCAAAAATTATATATGGTATTCGATTTTTATAAAGTTTGGTTTTTGCATGGCTGGTGAGGGTGGCAGTAGGTCGATTTCTACCATCTTTCAAATTCCAGTTTTTATGGTTAAAACTAAGACAGAAACTTGCTTGAAATCGGATAGCATGTAACATTTCGGCCCACTTGGGTAGTGGGCGTGGCTATTGGCCGACATTTTTCATATTTCTTTATTCCTAAGCAAAATTACTACATGAAAAATATTTCAGTAAAATTTAAAAGCGTTTAATACTTCTTGTCGCAGCTTATATGGGCACCTCCGACTGCGAGCCGGATTTCCTGATAAATGGCCTTTTTTGGCCCGAAATTGAACAAGATTAAAGGTGGTTTCAACAAGGCTAATGGCGTTTCCTTTTCTACCGAAAAATGTTGCCTTATCAGTGCCCGCTTCGCACAAGTACTAAGGAGAGGGCAATGAAAAGGCAACATTGTTTGTGGAAAGGAAAACACCATAAGCCACTTTGGCCGCANTCCAGTTTTTATGGTTAAAACTAAGACAGAAACTTGCTTGAAATCGGATAACATGTAACATTTCGACCCACTTGTGTAGTGGGCGTGGCTGTTGGCCGACATTTTTCATATTTCTTTATTCCTAAGCAAAATTACTACATTAAAAATATTTCAGTAAAATTTAAAAGCGTTTAATACTTCTTGTCGCAGCTTATATGGGCACCTCCGACTGTGAGCCGGATTTCTTGATAAATGGCCTTTGTTGGCTCGAAATTGAACAAGATTAAAGGTGGTTTCAACAAGACTAATGGCGTTTCCTTTTCTACCGAAAAATGTTGCCTTATCAGCGCCCGCTTCGCACAAGTACTAAGGAGAGGGCCAATGAAAAGGCAACATTGTTTGTAGAAAGGAAAACACCATAAGCCACTTTGGCCGCGTAATGGCTCTATTACGCGAGAAATTTCCAAGACGCGGGATATGGCTGGGCACCAAGCTTCTGCTATTTAACGCCTTTAGATTACTTTTTATTTAGCGATGTATAAAATAGGGCTTATGCAAAAAATTCCAGGACTGTGGCGCTATTGAGGGGCTAGATACTTCAGTTAATGGCCGAGTTATGGCACGAACCGTATGAAAATATATTCCTTACCTTAAAAAGAGTTGGAGATCATTCAAAACTTTAATAAGAAACACAAATTCCATCGAAATTTCAAAATTCAGTATCTTTTTTTACTTTTTACTTTCGCAAGTAGAAAATGGATAACCCTAAGTATGTTATACATCTGGGGGTTTCTGCTTTATTTGTTTGTACTCTTTCACTTAAAAATGGAAAAACTTTTTGTAGTTTTTTTTTAGCCTCAACCATTTTTCTTCTTTCATAGCAAAGATATTTGCTGTACAACGCTGATTACCTTTGCATTTAGTCCAAGGTTAAACGATTACTGTGAGCCCGGAATTTACTAAACGATAGGTAACGGAAAAGTAAATCAAATTAGGCGGTGCACAGCGAGAGGAATACCGTACGCTCTGCTGAGACGCTATAAAGCAATTTGAGCCAGTCGCTTCAGAGATTTTCGTTCAGTTAGTACCAGCACAATTCAATCGAATTCGGTATTCGCAAGTTAGCTAGATTAATATTAAAATTAGGTGTGGTCCGCGACCCAGTAATCAATTTGGCCCTCTACTCTTCACAATACTTCTTCTAAACCTATATCCATCAAAAATTTCAACAGCTTTATCGGGGATAGCGAGTGAATATGCTTAAGCTGTGGCTACATGCTTCCTCTAAACTTCTTTCATGTCTTATACAGACTACATCACACTCTGTGAGGATGTGGATTGGTGTCTCGCTAGTCGTGTCGCAGAACTGGCAGAGATCATTCGACCATTTCCCCAGCTTGTATAGATGTCCTCTTAGTCTGCAGTGTCCAGTACGCATACATGTTAGAGTATTACACGCTTCTCTTTTGGGAGGTTAATTAAGTTTTGGAATCCACTCTTAACCACTCTTACCATCCCAATAAACTTTTTGCCTGAAGCATTCCTTCCGAACTATTCCCCAGTGTCCTCCTTTCCCTCCTGAGCACATTCTTCATAGTATTGAGAAGTGGTAATTTCAGTTAAGCTTAACTAGGCAAGTGCCTGGCGATGTTTTGTTAAGACCGATCCTAGATAGGGAAACTAATTAAGTACTAGCATATTAAAGTTCACCATTACCAAGGCCTGATTCGGTGCTATCAAACAAAAACCTTGACGCTGGCCGCATTTCAAAGTTTTAATTATTTTAAAATACTAGAAGTACTACTAACTAAATTTGAACAAACTGACATCATAAAATTATAAATTTTAGTTTTAACTAATTAACAGTAGCCTTTGAAAACCAACCCAGGTTTCCTCAACTATTTTCCCTGCACAGCTGTGCTTTTTTTTTGTATGCTAAGAGTACTCAAAGAAATCAGTGCATTTTCATAATAAACTAAGTGTGCTGCTTGTGATACAGAAAGAATTAGTATGAAGCCATATGTTTTCATTTTAATCGATATTAATTAAGAGTTGTAGACCAAAGTTTTTATATTCTGGTATTTCCTGTACTTCGAATTATTTTTTCACACTGCTGTGTTCCATTTATGCTACTTTTAAGTGGCTCGAAAAAAATTTATGTTTGGCTTCATAATGCAATAATGTTAGTTTTTCTTTTTATAAATGCAAATTGGTTGATTTTCCTTTTTTTTTTTTTTTTTTTTTTGGCTTTTTATTGGCATACAAACGCCTCTCTGTTATATCTACTTAGGTAAATATTTTTGATAAATAAGTTATTGTTATTGATATTTCCTTTCAAATATGCATAGATCAATCGTTCACTATTTAGTGCTAGTAGATACTTAATTATTTGATCTTGTTCTCTATTTTGTATGCGTCTCATTTAGGCATTTTCTTAATTTACCAAATAAGTGAGAAGCGCTTCTTCTTTGGTACATGATTGACGCTGATTTTACGTAACTTTTCTGGTGCAACACCTTTGCGCGGTTTAAAGAGATTTACCTGCAAGCCAACTTTGATCTTTTTGGTGAGTGCACCTTGCGGGAAAACGGCCTGCACTTGTGGCACCACAGTGCTGGATACCATGCCACCCTCTGGTCCGATGGCGTGCACCTCTTGGCGTATACGCGAGACTACAGCAAAGTATTGTGGAAAATCATAGGTAACAAAACGGCAAACATGATTTCCAGCTTGCTCCTCAAGTTGTGCAATTTCTGTAGACAAAAAATCAACTATTACTTGAAAATTTTTGAGGCACAATTTTTGTAGATATTTAGTAGGTACATATTATCCGTTATACTTACCTTCGGGTTCGAAACATTGTTGCATTACATCGTGTATGATTTCTTCCGAATTATCAATTGCATGCTCTCGCCAGGTTTCTCCATTATCCGAGCGCAATATGATAATTTCACGCTCTTTGCCGCGCAATGAAGCGAAATGTGGCACCTCCATGATGACGGGGCCAATAAATTTGGTCGATACTGGCCCAAGTTCCAACACACGGCTAGCCAAAGCTTCACCCTCCATTAGCTGTGGTGGATGCATAGTGCGTTGTGGTTTAACATATCGACATGTGACACGAGTCGGTTGACAAGTGGAACGCGATGGTATAATCATGCGTACACCACTGTGGCGGCAACCACGCATAGCACCGCCACGCGCATCGACGAGGAATGAAACAAGGAAACTGCAAGAAGATCATTATTCGAATTTTAGTTAACAAAGTATACTTAAAAATAAAAAATGGAAATTAAATTTGTATAAAGGCATTCGTACAACGATCAAAACTTCGGTGACTAATGATTTACATAATAACATCAATTTGCATAAGAACCACTACGACGACGACGATTAGCATCTTGTTTCAGGGAAAAAAGATGCCACCACCAACGCTGCAAACGGGCGCAACACGAATTATGTGGACTCGGTAAAGGGTTCTGAACAGGGAAGCGAGACCTATTTTCTGCAATAAGATGAGAGAGGCCGAAAAGCGTGAGCGCGAAATGCTTGCCAAGATGAAAAATTCTCGAAATGAAAAATATCGAAAAGTTTGGCGATTTACATAAAGTTTTAAGGCGATTGCGAATTTCGGTAAGGACAACCACGCAGGCCTAGTGATCAACGCCCAGCAGGCTAAAGCCTACCATCAGTGAACTAATTGGACCATATCAGTGTGGCTTTACAGCTGGTACATCTACCATAGACCATATCTTTTCTCATATTTAAAGCCGCCTTTGATAGCAGACAAAGCAGTTGTTGATACGCCGCGATATCTGGAATTCATATTCCCGTTTTATCCGAATAGCGAAGAACCTTCGGAGACGAGAAAGGTTTCAGACAGATTCCTCCTCTTTCGTGCAACTTCTTTAATCGTATGCTGTACTGCAGAACTAAATAACTTAGACATAATTTTCTTATAAGAGCATGCAACATCCTCGACCTCATCTACCGAATTGCTTGTTCTACCTTTTGCAAGCTTGGTATGGAAGAACGTGTAGAGTATTAGAGGACATAATTTAGTATTATGGACTCTGGTACGAGTAACATCCAAAATAAACCAAAAAGTCTAATAGCGGTCACCCCTCGGCAATTAAAAATTTCCGTGTGTATTCCCGCCATAAAAGCAGCTTCTCATAAAGATATAATCACCGTTCGGAAGCGGCGTGAAACTGTAGGTCCCTACTCCTTGTGTGACAGCATCAAGTCGCACACCACAAATCGGAGAAGAAGCGCAACCAAGCACAGCAAACCTTTGCGCGCCAATAATTTATTTATTAATTTTGTTTTAAAACAAATAGTAATTTCATGGAACAATGAGTTGTATGAACTTCACGGGGATATACATAGGCATAGAACAGTGACAAAAAATATTTGCCGCTGCGACTGGGAATGAACGCAAACGCTCCAGCCCCAAATAGCAGAGAAAGACGGTCAGGCATAATAAGAGAGAATGCTTAGTCAGCATAGCAGCCCCCCTTCCGGGATAAATAATACAATTTAAATTTTCGAAGCGTTCCCGTTATCGAATGCAGTTAAGTTTCGTGTGATTTCGAGTAGAGTTAATCGGGCCCAGTCTGCTAACTATTGAAATCTAATCGGGCCCATTCTGCTAACTATTGAAATCTCGGAGGGATTATTTTCGACGTTAAAAGATGGCGAATTTGTTCAGAAGGTATCTACTTCATCCTCTAGTCTAGTAAAATCTTTGTTGAAGTCCAAAATTTCGTAGTTGAGTTTACCTAGTCTGAGGTTTCTCTCGGATTCTTGACCATCGGAATAGGTGATTCATAACTTGAATTATTTACAGTGAAACCTCGATGTAACGAATCTTGCTAAAACGAAAAATTCTATATAACAAAATGTTTGCTGCGTCCCCAGAAAAAAAAAACCTAATTGTTGCGATATTTTCCATACAAAAATGCTTCATAGATATAGCGACGAAGTTTGGAGCCTGAGATCTTTCGGAATATATTGACGATTGAAGTTCCGTTAGTCTCAAAAGCCTCTACATAACAATTCTGAATATGTTGACTGTGGGAGTCCCGTTATAAATAAAAACACGAACTCAGGTTTTCATATTCTATAAATATAACGAAACTATAGGTGAAATGAAGCATTTGCCTAACCTCTTCAACTTCGTTATATCAAGGTTTTACTGTACTATCTATGCCTTATTTTATGCTTTTACTATTGAGTACAAGTTTTCAATAACAGCGAAACAAATAAGATACGTGTGAATCTTGCGAGACTAACGGCTCTATTCTGTACTCTGTGTCAGTGTATCAATTCTTGTCACAGATTGCTTTTACGGAAAAATGTATGAAAAAGTTTAAATTTGTCAATAAAAAAACTTTTGTCACCGATACAGAATTGGGCTATAAAACTAAGATCGTGAGTATTTGCGGTTTAACAATTTGTCCGTATGGCAGCTCGGTTAGAGATCAGCGGAGTTCAGTACATTTTGTTTTTAATTTGCGAGCTGCCTGGCTTTCAGGAACAATCTTCTGTATATACATATGATACGCGAAGGCATTTTTGTTAATGTCATCAGATCTGCACCATTCGTTAAAAAATTAGATTTCAAATTAAGGGACTTTGGTCTGTAGATATACAACCACATCTTATAGTATTGAAAAGGGTTTGCCACCTGTTGAAAGCTATATTGAAATTATTTAATAAGTTAAATTAATTGTCACAATATTTCTCTCAGCCGAAATTGGTTTGAAAGGGCTTTATTTCTAAACTACATGCGGGAGAGCTGCCACCTGTTTAAAAAGTCTAATTCAACTTGACAAAATTATGCATTACAATGTCAGACGAAAGATTATAATGGTTTGGTTTGAAAATATTTTGAAGAGAGCTGCCATCTGCTTGTCGAATTTAATTAAAATATACAAAAGTTATATGAACTACTAAGATATGAGTGCCAAAGGAATGTTTCAAGAAAGCTTTAGTTTGAAATTATTTTTTATTAGGGTTGCCACCTTTTCGTCATATCTATCTAACTGAATATGTATGTATAATAAGCATTTTTTGTGAAGGTCATCAGATATGCACGGTTTGTTCGAATCTCAAAAATGAGCTGTTGAAATTAAGTGTTTGGCCTGTAGATGTGCAATAAGCCTTTATTTTTTGAAGTTAGAAACAACTGGACGGATTTACATAGATGAAATTCGGCACACACACGAATCGCTCGAATCGCTTATAACTATGGCGAATATTAGGAATTTTTTTTTAAGTTCTTAAACTTTCATGAGCTTAATTTATCAGTTTAATTACTTTTCTGCTGGTAAACATTGAAATGTTTCACAATTCAGAAACAGTAAACGGTGTGAACTGAATAGTCATTCAAAATGGCAATAATTTCTGGTACATAAAAAACCACCCTACTGTTATCTCTTCCATTTTTTAGTTTGAATATATTTTTGAAGAGGATGATTGTTACCCTTTTCGAGCCAAATTGAAATAACCTACACACAAGTTACGTGAATTGTTTCACTATTGGTGTCAACAGAAATAGTTTTAAGAAAGATTTAGCTTAAAAGTATTTTTATTAGGGTAGTCGCCTATTAAATAAGTCAAAATTATTTTAGTTGCACATATGTTGCATACATAAATGAAATACTACTAATTTATAAATTTTTTGCGATGCCATTTGAATTAGTTTGATTCAAAAACAATTTTTTGCAAATTTTGAAAATTTATCTTAATTGAGTTAGCTTTTTCACTGATATAATTATACAGCGGGAATCGTAACACGTCGGATCGGGAATGTTACTTTTAAGATAGGCAAACAATTAATTCGGGTTGCCAGAATGGCTTTTTGATCATAAGATTCAAGGGTCGAATGGGGTTCGCCGCAGAAATCTTAGGGCATGGGAGAGATTTAAAATTTGTATTCATTTGTTTTTTTTCTCATGCCACAATTCTATTTAGCTTCGTCGAATCGACGACCCAATACTTCTTTGCAACTAAAATTTTGCATTTTGCGATATAAAATCGTCGTAATTTAAATTTAGAGATAATAAATTTTACTAACATATCGTCGCCCTTATGCCAGAAGCATAAATGTGCAAATTTATCAGTTTTGAGTTATTGGTTTGACTCCACTAACCTTTGGATGTTCTACGTTATACCAAATACCAGAATACCATGCGTACACGAAACCCACATATTTTACTATTTCAATTGCATAAAGTAGAGTTAAGTCTCGAAAGAAAAATTTCTAACTTGATTTCCCAAAATTTTAATTTTTACCCTTCTATGTTTCTGGCATACGGGCGACGGGATATATTCACCATATTTTTATACCCGAGCGAACTTGCTCCCATAACGGTTGTTCTTTTGAACCAAGGACGGATGTTATTGAAAATGGGAAAATTGGACAATGCCTACCTCCCGTATAACGGTAGTTTGCAGAAATATGAAAACTGCGATATTACTGAAGTTTATTCACTCAAAATTGATATTTAAAATTATGTATATCTTGGGGAAAATAAGAATATTATAAATTATTAGAAAATGGGCGTGGCACCGCCCAGTTATGTCCCAGTAACAGTTCCATCAATTTCTACTAAACTCGGTTTACTTATTGTACTGGACACATAAAAGAAAGACGTGGAAAATTTTTGAAAACGGACTAAAACTACGCCTACTTTTCATATAACGGTAAATTTCAGAAATGCGGAGACTTCACTATTCGAAAATAAAAGGCGCAAATTTACTCAAAGTTGATAATCATAACAACCTCTGAGAAATAAATAAGACTATTATGGAATTTTGAAAATGGGCGTGGCACCGGCAATTTGTGGCTACAGCAGTTTATCTCATTAGGTTTAACTGAAAAAAGCCATCGCAGATGTTTGAAATAGGGTCAAAACCACCCCTGCTTGANCAATGCCTACCTCCCGTATAACGGTAGTTTGCAGAAATATGAAAACTGCGATATTACTGAAGTTTATTCACTCAAAATTGATATTTAAAATTATGTATATCTTGGGGAAAATAAGAATATTATAAATATTAGAAAATTGGCGTGGCACCGCCCAGTTATGTCCCAGTAATAGTTCCATCAATTTCTACTAAACTCGGTTTACTTATTGTACTGGACACATAAAAGCAAAACGTGGAAAATTTTTGAAAACGGACTAAAACTACGCCTACTTTTCATATAACGGTAAATTTCAGAAATGCGGAGACTTCACTATTCGGAAATAAAAGGCGCAAATTTACTCAAAGTTGATAATCATAACAACCTCTGAGAAATAAATAAGACTATTATGGAATTTTGAAAATGGGCGTGGCACCGGCAATTTGTGGCTACAGCAGTTTATCTCATTAGGTTTAACTGAAAAAAGCCATCGCAGATGTTTGAAATAGGGTCAAAGCCACCCCTGCTTGACATGTAACGGTAGTTTTCGAAAAGGTGTAAAAACTATATTTAATACTTAAACTGTTTTACTTTTTTTTAGTATTTCCTTGATATTTTCACATAGGCAAAATAAGCAGACCTTCCATGGTTGAATAATTGTTTGTTAATTGAGTTAAAGTTTTGTTAAGAAAAATTAATAAATTGAGTTCAGTACTTATTACTCTTTATCCCATACGCAAATGTGTCAGTGTATAGCAAAAATGATGAAATATTAAAGATAAAATCGTACAGAACTGTCTCGGTGCAGTTGCAAATTCATAACGCCCTCGATCTAATCAAACGTTTTGATAAAGTGTTCAGTTGTACGAACACTATATACATAATACTTTTTTACTACTTATATAACTTATATAACTACCTTTTCCAAGAAAGTTTTCGGCTGCGTGTAAATGAATAATNTAAAATCGTACAGAACTGTCTCGGTGCAGTTGCAAATTCATAACGCCCTCGATCTAATCAAACGTTTTGATAAAGTGTTCAGTTGTACGAATACTATATACATAATACTTTTTTACTACTTATATAGCTTATATAACTACCTTTTCCAAGAAAGTTTTCGGCTGCGTGTAAATGAATAATAAAAAAAATAATCGCACTTACATATACAGACTAAAAAATGTAAATACATATCTGAATTATTTTGAACTTACCCCACATATTTTTGTTCCTCATTAAGCCCGTTACCCATATAAATACCATCCACAATCGATTTGCCAGCGCCATGAATTTGTGCTTTATGTGGACTAATCAACTCTTCGGCGATGGCCTGCTGTTGCGGTTGACCTCCAACACCGCCAGCGTACTCAGCGCTATGGGTCATCATGCGATTCGAATCGATACGTTCGTCGCGTGTGACATCGATCGGCAAGGAATCATCGCCTAGAGATTTCATTTCATCAACTGTCAAATAACGGTAAGGCTGATCGGAAAGCATATTATCTTCGCCTGGTAGTGGCAGTAGTGGTGGTTGTGGTGGTGGTGGTGGTTATGTAGTGGCAAGTTGACCAGTTTTATNTATTATCTTCGCCTGGTAGTGGCAGTAGTGGTGGTTGTGGTGGTGGTGGTAGTGGTGGTGGTTGTGTAGTGGCAAGTTGACCAGTTTTACAGTTTTATTTATTTGGCATTCCATTGATATCCGATTTGTTTTTCCGATTTGATTTGGTTTTGCGGATTATTAGCGGTGTCGGCGCGAATAGTGCAAAAAAAAATTTTGAAAAGAAATAAATAAAGAAATATGCAAATAATATATATATTTTTTTTTATTTTGAAGAGCAAACACACATGCATTTTTTTTTAACATACATACATACAATATATATATTCTTTTGGATTAAGTATNTTTTTTTTTTTTAACATACATACATACAATATATATATTCTTTTGGATTAAATAAGAAAGCTGAGAATGCATTTGCAATGAAACGGAAGTCGGTAGAAAATAATGAACATAATCGAAATGGTAACGCTTTCTTCTGTTAAATATGAGTGTATGGGTGTTTAAAATATGTACAGGTGTGTAAATGTTTGGAAGGCAAAGCACACAAAGTAGACGTTGCATATGTCGCAAGCAATTGACACCTATTAAAAAGCCGATATGAACAACATTAAAAGAGAACCTCGGAAATCGCTTAATATATTTATGCGCTTTTATCAATATCTAAAAAAAATTGTTTTAACATTTATAACTATGTAGTTTGCACTTTTTAAGTAATTGGCTTTACGATTTTCCCTTTCAGCATTATCCCTTGTATAATTAATCATATATTTAAATTAATTCTGTTAACACTATATTTAACATCAGTATAAGTTTATCTATGTGCGTCTATTAAATTAATATTGATGTTCATACTTGAGTAATTTTTATACACACATACATGATTCTGTTAATTGTAGCAATGTATTATACGCTTATTTTATACACACATATGTATTTGTTGAAACAAATCTGGGCTTAAATCGTCATAAAGTCATGTTATCTCATTTTTATAGAGAAGCAAGATGACATCCAACCTCTTATTCCCTATACATATATTAATTAGACTGTGTCGCAAAAAAAGTTTGTTTCTTTGTTTTGAGAAGTTTAGCTTCATACAAATTTCCGTCCTTAACAAGTCCTAAAAACAATCAAAATCGAGCCTATTTCATATCGAGTATTGTGAGGCGGCCGCTGTGTTGTAATGGTTACAAATGCATACTACCATTCCGCAGGGCCTGGGATCGAGCCTAGGTTCCGACATACATACATCACAAACAAACGAAAATAAAAAGATTTTTCTAAGAGCGGTCGCCCCTCGGCAGACAGCTTCACAATACAATCGTCGTTCGGAGTCCCCTTTGTGCGAGAACATCCACAACAGAACATCCATAAATGGGAGGAGAAGCTCGGCCAAACGCTAACAAACTACTATATTAATATTATCATCTATATATCGACAATTGAGTGAAAGGTCGACCTATCTCGGCAGCCAGTTCGAAAACGCCCTATCTCAGCAAATTTTTCAAGTACGCCCTGTTTCAGAGTTTGGTTGAAGAACGCTCTATCTCAGCTCATTTTCAATATATTTTTAGTTAAGATAGGGCGTTTTTGAACTGAATTCTGAGATATGGTTTTTTTTCAGCCCAATTCTTAGATAGGGTTAGGTTAGGTTAGGTTATGTGGCAGACCCATGAGAGGAACTCACTTAGACATTCAATTGTCCATTGTGATACCACATTACACAAATTCTTGGAACGGTGCTTACAATAAGGTTCCGCAGGCAGCTGATGTTCAATTATTGATTCTAATTCGAGCTAGTTGAATATCTAATTGCATTAGCAGAAGTTAATTAGATTTCTAATTGTAAAGGTAAACCAATTTTTTTTGCTAATGGCAACTAATTGCAATTAGTTTTACCATTGGAATAAAAATTTCAATTATCTAATGGGAATTAGTTGAACTAATTCTAATTGTTTAATGAATTAGAGAATTTCACAAAAGAAGGTTAATTAGGAATCATTAGCATTATCTAATCATTATTTAACGAGTATGGTCTGAACATACTGAGAGTTCGTGACAGTAAACACCTCCTCAATAAGATGTGAAGATGTTTATTGGACCTCTTCTTCAGAGACTACGATTCTCCCATTGGTCCTTTGGAGGAATATGTGAGGAGATGGATCCTTTTGGGGCCAGCCTCAGAATCTTGCAATCCATTTTTTCAGGCAGGAAGTTGAAGTTTTCGAGAATTGTCGAGTGCACGTGCGTTGGGTTGAAAGAGAACCCCGCGCTTTTGAGCCTAACAGGTTAACCTAATATTCGCGTGTTGCGTTTTGGTACGCACGCCGTAGAATTTTTTTTCTTGCGTCATTCGAAATTGGCTTGCGAGCATTTGCATTTGATTTCATTGAGTGAAATGTCAAATCAAAATGTCACGCAGAACAAAAATTGGAAATTGATTTAGTTTCATACGCACGTCGTTCAATTTCGGTTGGTCCCATACAAGTTGTATGTGCATGAGAAATTTTTGACAGTAAATTGGCGGCGTGCGTGAATATTCGCTACTTCGCCTGCAATGCCGACAGGTGCGACATTGAGCATAGCATTTAGCGCTAGAGTATGAGTGGTCTGCAGTGCTCCACTGATTCCAACAAGGGCCGCCCTTTGCACGCGCTCTAGCTTCCTAACAAGAGTCGTCGTTTCAGTCAGTACAAAACTTTTGGAGAGAGACCTCATCTCTTCTTCATAGCCGTCCAGTATTGCACCCAAGAACCTGAGTCTATCAGCGAGAACAAATGAAGCACCCCCTATTGAGGGAAGATAGGGTGTTTTTCCCCTTTGACAACTTTGACAACGTTTTGTAATAAATATAATCGGGTACTGATTGCGCGGTTAAATATTACCTTCTACCCGGCTACCTGGATAAAGACAACCCCCTATCAGGGTACCCAGACAAATATAAGCCGCTACTCAAGCACCCGGATAAAAATTGCCTTCTACTTGGGTACCTGAATCAGGATAAACCCATACCCGGATACCCGGTTAAAAATGACCTGTTACCCGGAGAAATATTACGTTCTACGCGGGAACCCTCTACCCAGGTAACCGGCGGACAAGTACAAATATAGCCCGCATCCTAGGTAACCGGATAAAGATAAGCCCGTACCGTATGTTCTACATTTTATAATTAAAGAAATAATATATAGTTTGAGTGGAAAATAGTGGAAAACTTACTTTTAGTAAAATTAAATACATACTTAGGTACTTTACCTACATACAGTTACCCAAGTATAAGCTGACAATTTAGCAAGTTTTGGCTTTTTTTTTTTAATGTTTATTATTTTGTTGTTTTTTTTAGCTGATTAATTAACTTACACCATATAAATCTAAATTTCAGGCTTTGAGCAAAAATTATGAAAATTCTGCAAAATTTCACCGATATTTTTAACTTTTTTAACAGCACCTTTGGATCAAATTTTGGTACGCAACATTTTTTTCCATACAAAGTATGTTCGACAATTTTTTATATGGAAAAAATGCGGTAAAATCAATGGTAAGTCCTAGCTACTTCAAATTTGCACTATATTTGGTTTTATATGGCGATTGTTAAGTAATCAGCTATACTTTAATGAAAGAACAATAAACATTAAATAAAGTAGAGAATAAAAGCTTGTAAAGCTAGCCAAAACTTGCTAAAAGTTTATATTTGGGTCACTGTATTCCTTCACCTTCAAAGGTGACTATTGATAAAAAAAAAGGGTAAAAATATATTTTGCAAATACTGAATGTATTAATTTTACTTTTTCTGCTTTAATTTTCTTCAATGCTGTAAATAACAATACAATTAAATTTATTTTGTAAAATACCAATTGGCAGTTACATAAGTATGTATAAATACATGCGACCAATATTATTCATCTAACTTAATAACTTAAAACAAGCAACCATTACTAATAAGTCTCCTAGATAAGTATCGGTGAAGATTTATTTCTTGAAATTAAATATAAGTAAATCTCATTTGCCAACCAAAACAATGCGCGCAGTTGTATATCTCTCTGAGAGAAACCTTTATGTCGCAGGTTTTTCGGTTAATGGTTATTTACGAGCTCTGGTTAAATCTATCGTGCGTTGGACATATTTTTTTTAAAAATTCGCCAAAAATTTACTCTACAATTAGATATGCATAACTTTAAAAATACATTTTTTTTTCATAAAAATGTAATATAAATCTTATTCTTATTTGGCGCTGTGATTGCCTAACCGCCAGTCCTTTCTCTTCTGTTCCAACTGACGCCAATTGGAAATATCAAGTGAAGCCAAGTCCTTCTCCACTTGTTCTTTCCATCGCAGTGGGGGCCTCCCTCTTCCTCGCGGAGCCGCTGAATGTTTATTCACTGCACTATATCCATGCCGTTGTTAAGCTCATAAGGTTCATCGTTCCATTGGCTGCAGTACTCGCCGTCGCCAACGCGTTAGGGCCCGTAAATCTTCGGCAAAATCTTTCTCTCGAATACTCCAACAGCCGCATAATTGGATGCTGTCATTGTCCATGCTTTTGCGCCATATACCATCACGGGTATGATGAGTGACTCATAGAGTGTGGGTTTCGTACGCCTAGTGAGCAATTTAGTCCTGAATTGCATACGCAGTCCAAAGTAGCACTTGTTGGCAAGAGTGATTCCGTGTTGGGTTTTCATGCCGGTTTAGTTATGCGGCTTTATTATCTTCTCCAATATCAGATTAAAGAAATCGCACGAAGGGGAGTCGCCTTGTATTACTCAACGTCATTTTACACAGCCGTATCAGTTTCGCGGGCGGATACCAATTCAGACATCGCGGCGTATAGGCAACTCCTTTTAGTGCTGTCGTAGGCGGCTTTGAAATTTGCAAATGAATGGGGTGTGTCGATCCTGTTCTCGCGAGTCTTTTCCAAGATTTTGCCTATTATTAATACCTGGTTCATGGTGGATTTACCAGGTCGATACGATCCAATCAATTCGTTGACGTTGGGCTCAGTCTTTCGCACAATACACTCGATAAGACCATGTAATCTATGCTTAGAGGTCTGAACCCGCGGTAGTTGGCGCGAATGGCTGGGACATATTTCTTGTGGATTGGGCAGAGCACACTTAAATTCCAGTCGTCGGGCATTCGTTCATCCGCCCATATTCTGCGTAGGAGTTGATGCATGCAACTTGTCAGCTCCTCGCCGCCGTACTTAAATAGCTCGGCTGGCAGGCTGTCAGCTCCAGCAGCTTTGTTGTTTTTCAGCTGCGTAATTACTATTCGTACCTCGTCATAGTCAGGCAGTGGAACATCGAATCCATTACCATCGATGTAATCTAAATACTTCTCTGTATTTATGAAGCTTGAAAAGGATACATCTTTGTATTAATTCTACTGTTAATGTCATGGTGTGTGCGAACAGTTTTGAAAAAATCACAACTCTAGGAAAAAAAAATTAGTTTTTTTCCTCAATGGTTTCTATTTTCGGACATGCGCCCTTTTCAAAATTGCATATTCAATCATTTTTGTTTGCACTTCGCTAATCACCTCAATTCTTTTTTACTTTTCGCCTCAAATAGAGGATTTTACTGCTTGCTGTCTCCAAAAGGTTGTTCATTGTGTTTTAATATATCTATTTATATTAACATTTATATATACATATAAATTAAATTATAATATAACAACATCAAGAGATTTAAATTAAACACATCAAGATTAGTCTGTTTTACAAACATTAATTGGAGAAATGTGTATACATATGCATGTATGTATGTATTGTAGCAGACAAAGAGGAAGACCGCCTCACAGTGGTGCCAAACTGGAATTTACTGTCCGGTGCCTCATTTCTCAACAGAGTCAATTAATTTTATTTAATAAAGCATATAAAATTTAAAAGAGGATTGTCGAGCCCGATTTTTTATAATTTTTATTTCTTTGAATTTAATTTTTCCGTGCAAAGTGCAGAGAAAGCAGCAAATTTGAAGAAAATTGATTCTCCTGTTTCTTATTTGGAATTTTTAGAAAAATTTTAAGTTGCAGTTTTATAGCCCATCTAGACTATTTTGAACACTTAATTCCAGTCTGTGATGGCAGTGTTGAGCAAGTTTTAATTGTAAGTACAATTAACAATTATTAATTAATTTAATTGCAATTACTTGTTTAACCAATTAATATGATGATTAAAAAATTAATTGATTAACGCCAAACACTGTGCGATGGAAACACCAGGGTGCGAATCACGGCATTCATTATCTAAGTTAACTCGAATCGAAACATGATTTTAAAATCACAGCATTCGTTAATTTAGCACAGTCTCTCGTCAGCAAAAGTCTTTCGTAATATTAATTAAAAAGAAAAAATAATAATTAAACAAAAAAAAAACCAAATAACTGCTTAAAAGTTAAAGGAAATAAAAAAATATGTCTTTCTTTTTAAAATAATATGTAGAATCTAATAATTAAAAAAACATCCTTTAAAATAAAAGACATCAAAAAAAATCTCTTTAAAACAATAAAATCTGAAAGAAAAATATATCAAAAATCGAATTGAATAATAAAATTTGTAATTTGAGAATATATATTTTTTTCTTTTCAAACGATAAAAGCTGAAAATTCAAACCAATTTAAATTCAAAAAAGTGTAATTAAAAAATTAATGAGCTTCTAAAAGTTAAGTGAAATAAATAATTGTTTTGTTTTAAAAATAATACAACCCAAAAATTAAAGAAAATTAAACTTTAAAAACAAAATAAGTTCCTAAAATTAAATGGAATTAAAAAAATTTATATTTTTCTTCTTAAAATAATATCTAAAAATCTTACAATTAAAGGAAAATCAAATTAAAAAGAAATCTAAATTATTTAAAAACGAAAAAAAATAAAATAGTTGGTAAAAATTTAATTGAATAAAAAAAAATATATATGTAAAACTCCATGTATTCTTTCTGAACGTTAACCTTCTCCCCTTCCCCCCACTCCTGTAAAATTTTTTAACTTAAAACTTTTTTAAAAATATGTAAAATTCACTAAAAAAAACAAGCTCTTCAATGCCGAGTGCCAAAATAACGAAGAAACGATTACGAAAAAGGGCTGACATTTGCATGTTTAAACTCGTATAACTCGACAAAAAAACATCCAATGGTTACCAGTAACCATAGCAACAACGTGGTGGAGTTTGAACAAAATGCTGTCATAAATTTTTTTTCCTGTTACACTTGGCGAATTTTGACCCATATTTTAATGGTTTTTGCTTCAAAAATCGGCGTCAATAAGTCTCGTCTAAATTAGCTTCCATTTAAAGATTATCAAATCAGATGAAAAAATAAAGGCTCTGAACCATTTTGAACAGTAAATTCCAGGTTTGTACCACTGTGTGGCGACGTTTTACTCTAGCGGTTCTGTTCAGTTATACGAGGTAATAATTGGAAATATGTTATCGTAATTTTTTTATAATTTGTGTGAGTCCACTACCTAATTATATTCTTTGCTTTAACGTCGATTTCAAAGAGAAATTTTAAATTAAAGAACAATTATACATTGGGCCTTATGAATAAAAACTAAACAATCGCTTTTTCTCAAAACTTTAGATATTTTACTCGATTTACTCAAAAATTTAAGTAAAAGGTCGGATATTTGAAGAAACAACAGTTGCTTAGTTTTTATTCATACGGTCCATTGTGTCGTTTTGGGATCTTAGATTTCTAAATTCAATTAGGCATAAAATTAGAACGGTAACCAACTTTTTTAAATCCTCCAGTAGTTTCTCATCATAAGACCAGCTTAATCGAATGCAGTATTTATTTAGATCCGATTCCCATCACTTCCAAATTTTTTTTTTATTTGTTGTGGTGTTTTTTTGATGATTTCGATAGTTTTGCAGCAACAATGATTTTGCACATCCATAACACATAGCTATACATATATACACATACATACATACATACATACATTTGTACATATATCCCCCGTAAAGTGTGAAGGGTGGTCTAAAAATTTTGACATGTTACTATTTATTTACAAAAATATATAAACCGATCGCATTTTAACAAAAAACCAAAAATTTTGTTGGAAACACTACCACACGCACACACACTTTATAAGGAACTTTATAAGAAATATGAATATTTTATTATTATTTCATTTACTGTAATTTGGTTTTATATGGCTAATTTATGCAAAGCCCAATGTGTGAAACTTACTAGACATAAAGTACGTTTCGCCCTGGTAATATGGAAGATAAACGTGGTCTTCATTCGTATTTCGATCACCCTTTATGCCATACCATGGATCCCAATCGTTTGTGTCGCCTGAGACACAGTTTGTCAAACATACATACAAACAAAAATATTCATAAATTATAGAACTTATTTAATATGTACTCAGAATTGATTTGAAATTTCTCACAAATTATCGTATTGTATTTTACTAGGTTGATAATAATAAGGCTAGGCAAACACATACTTAAATGGATAACGGAAGATTTTTAACTTGGTGTCACATTAGTGGAGTGCTTCGCATTGTGTTATTCGAGTAGCATGTCAAAGTTTTTATACCAGTTAAGGTTGTACATACATAGTACACTCTTCGGCAGAGCAAAATAATATTTTATTTAGTATCTAGTTACATTCATTCACAAATATGTAACGATTTAATGAGAATTTGTCTTGTAAAGCGATTGTTTCTATATGCAGATGTATAAATGAAATATAAAGGGTGCTTTGTTAATACATATGTATGTATGTATGATTTACGAAATGGAGAACCAAGCAAACTTTTCAAATGTGAATGAATTAATTTATATATATACGAATGTCCAAAGATACCAGAGATACATACAAAAAATAGTAGATTGCATAGCATAATACATACCACCTTCTTCTTCGGAATCCGACATAAAGGATTCATGCATTGCCTCAGGTGCAACAACGCGATACTTTTCATCGGTTTGAGTTTGTGTTGCTGCATCTGGTTCATTTGTAATCGATTTCAAAGAATCCAAAACACTTATATAACCCAATTTGCGTGCAATATGCAACGGTGTCTGTCCATTGACGGTATGTGCATTGGCATTGGCCTTATGTTCCAATAGTAGATTAACGATGTGACAATGTCCTTGCTGAGCTGTCTGATGCAGCGGTGTATAGCCGATTGACGTAGCCGCATCCACGTTAGCACCATGATTCAATAAAAAGCGCACCATATTTGCTTGACCGAAATGGGCGGCTACATGTAACGGTGTGTAGCCTGCTTTGGTGGCCATATCAATATTGGCGCCATTGCGTTGTAGAATTTCGGCTACATTTACATTATCTTCTTGTGCGCACAAGTGCATCGGAGTTAGTCCATTCTTGGCTGGATGATTTACGCTGGCCTTATGTTCAATGAGCAAATTCGATATCTCAGCGTGACCCTCCTGGAAATTGATTAAATTTGTATTAAAATCATGCATTTTTGTTTTCGATTGTAGTGAAAGAGCACACGGAGAAAACATAAACCATATCGTGTTTATTTCAAACTAAAACACATACATACATAGGATTTGCCGCCAAGCGATCCTTTGTTTACTTTAAACAGATTTTTATGTGAAGATTTTTTCTTTTGAATAGGCTTTCGCTCTGCACTTCACATATGCTTTTTCATAATAGTAGAAACCAAATAAAAATTTAAGACTTTATGTTGATGCAGAGGGCAGTCGAACCTAGGATCTCTTGCACCTAATAAATAATAGCGAGCACCTCTGCGCACTCAGCTACAGTTAGAACATGTAAATGTGTTTTCAAATGTTCATTTTGAATCAACTACTTCTTACTATCAAACTAATTTGATTTCACATTTGTTCAAAATATACTTTTTCTGTTCAGAACCTTGTAACGTGGTAAAATTGAAAACGACTCTGTTTGAAAAAATCATCTTAGATAAGATTAGATTCAGAGGAAGGAACAGGTCACCTTGTTACCGCGACCGAACGAACGTAACAAAGTTCTATTATTCTCTTTGTCGTTGAGGCTATTTCATTTTCTCCTAAATGAGCGGTAAGCTCAACTGTTTATTACGGTATCTGGCGGTACATAGAGTGCCTAAACCGAGTATTCAAGCCGAAGCTTTGTTGCTTCTTACTCACAATGCGAAATCGGAACCACATAAAGATGGCTTCCGACGCCAACACATCAATTAACCACGTAAACTCTCAGTCGTTTTTTCTGGAGCGGATGAGTCTATCTCTTTTAAATCTCTACGGATTCTGCAGAAATCATTATAAGGGACTTCGAAACTGGCGGCTATTCCTGTGTGAATCCGGGGATCCATAGCCAAATCCATGTTGTTCGTTCATCGAGCAGTACAGCTTAGTCCATTAGCTGTTGCTAGCTACTCTCGCCTACTCCTCAACTCGTTAAGACAAAAATTGCAGGGTACATTGTGTGCTTTGAAGCGCTTTAGGCCATTCACGAAACACCATTCTACCCGGGTCCCATTTAAAATTACCTAAGCAATGCAAGTGTTTACTGCACATATGCTCAGACAGCGTTCCGTGAGCTATAGCCAGGTACCATTGTACCTAAGCCCTAGGAGAGGATTTAGATGATAGGGATGTATATGTAGGGGGCGGGAATTCATTGCCCTTCTACAAATTTACCAGACTCCTTTATGAATCTTAGCCCCTTTTCGAGGGAGAAAATGTAGCTCGTGCATTTTCAATAAATCTAACCCAAAAATATACCATCTAAGTCTGGAGAAGTCCGGTCAGGGGCATAGAAAATGTTCTGTACTTTAGTCGTCTTCCAAGCAATATGTACCTGGTGGTCAAGGGTTGTTCCCCGCAATCAACCCTAACAGGGCTCGTAGATCACTGGTTCTCTGTATGAGAAGAAATTTGGCCTTTTCAGAAAACACTTGGTTGTTTTGAAGGCGTCAATACTACAGCAACGGCTTTATGAGTTTTATAAGAGAAATCTTTGATGTACCCGATTTTTTCCGCTACGATTGGCCCTAAAAATGGCTCCGGTCCCATAAAAGTTCAAAGCTCATTCACCTTGCAACGAGTTCAGCCTCAACTTACATTCCTGTACTATTTTTAAGGAGCGGTTTCCAAGGTCTTTATAGCAGCTTGGCTGTTACTACAGACCCTGATTTTATGTCCACACCAGCTTTCGCAAGTTATACAGTCTACTACTTTCAGTATTGCGAAGACTTCCATAGCACCCTAAGTAGTAAAAAGCACCTGAAGCATCATCCAGTTACCATCCTGCTACATTACCATTCTCTGAACCGTCGGTAGAAAGTTTTTACGAACATCCCCAAGGGTGTATCTAGATCTCTCCATTGCTCCCTTGTAGGAAAGCTAAAGACGTACTTTCTTACAAAAAAGACACCAGGTATCAGTTTGTCGTTATGTGTAAAAAAAAACAAACAACCTTCTATAGAAATCTCTGTGTCCGGAGCTCCGATATAAAATTCACAATATTCGCACCGTTATATAACTTTTGGTATACAGTTTCTAAAATTAATGAAGAAAACAGAGAACAGAAAGAAATTCTTTAACGGCTAGAAAAGATTAAGTAATTTTTTCAGAATGAGTAAATCTTTAGTATCTCGGAAACGTCTTGGGGAAATACCGTTTTAGGTCGACCAGAAACTGAACTTCTTAATGATAAAGAATCGTAAATAACCACTTATAGGGTCCAGTGTCCTGCGCTCTTCTAGGCCCTAATTTATATCTGTGTTTTTTTATTTAATACCAATGCTCTTGCTCAAAGTAATCGGATTGCTTGGGGTTACTTCCGCCATTTCGAACAAAATACTACTATACACATAAGTACATACAAATCTACACCTCTTACCTGGCAACTCAAATGTAATGGTGTGAAACCGGCTTTGCTTTCAGCATTAGCTTGTGCTCCATATTCCAGTAAAGTAGTAGCGATATCCATTTGATTTTTGCGAGCGGCAATATGCAATGGTGTATGTCCATTTTTGGCTATAGCATGTGGACTAGCGCCCTTCTCCAACAACAATAAAGCGACTTTTTGGTTATCATAATGACAGGCGACATGTAGCGGAGTGACGCCATTCTTGCCTTGAGCATCCACATCCGCTTCCTTTTGCAACAATAGTTGAGCAACCTTGATGTGACCATATTTGGCGGTCAAATGTAGTGGTGTGAAGCCTTTCTTCGTAGCAGCGTCCAATGCAGCGCCGTTTTCGATCAAAACAGCAGCGACCTGGTTAAGGAGATTTTATAAATTAAACGTGTATATGTATGTACATACATATGTAAGTAGATATCCAATCACACTGAAGTTAAGATTCATGCAAAAGAATTAAAAAGTAAATGGTTAAATATGAAAAAAATGGTATTTGTACCTTTACAGAAGAAATGATAAACAAGGAAATGAAATTTTATATTTCACAATTTATTCAACAATATTTTAACACAGTAATTAAATAATAACAATTTTTATAGCAACGAACATAAGTTGAAACAAAGGCGTTCGGTTATAAAAAAAAAATAATGAAAAATAATACAATCTATGCCTTAAAATAATGCGTTAAAACAAACTTTACATGATGAATATAAATATTTCATAAGCAGATTTTTTGTTCAGTAAATTAAAGTTTTATCTAAGTGAGGTATGCCACGTGAAATTATCATTCGTTTAGTATGTCGAAGAATACATTAAAAAGAGAAAGTTGTGTTCAGGAAGCTAGTAGTCACGGTCTTGTAAGGCTTGGTCCCCATTTTAAGTTGTGTTTCAGAAATTGAAGAATGTAAATAAGCCCAGNTGAATATAAATATTTCATAAGCAGATTTTTTGTTCAGTAAATTAAAGTTTGGCAGTCAATTTTATCTAAGTGAGGTATGCCACGTGAAATTATCATTCTTTTAGTATGTCGAAGAATTCATTAAAAAGAGAAAGTTGTGTTCAGGAAGCTAGTAGTCACGGTCTTGTAAGGCTTGGTCCCCAATTTAAGTTGTGTTTTAGAAATTGAAGAATGTAAATAAGCCCGTAACACCTACCAAGCAAACAAAAAAGTTCGCCATACACCCCTGATTCTAAAATATTCATATTTTTTTTTATTTTTCGCCTAATGTAGGGGTCGCCTTAAAAACTATCTCGGTGACACCTAAGTAAATAAATTCGGATGTAGGAAATTTTCCAGAAAAAATTCTACTGCTATAATAAAAATAGTTCCTTAGCAAAAGTATAATGATTTTTGATGAGCTTCAATTTACTGATTTTAGGGTAGTACGTTAGGGTGATATATCATCCTTTGAAATCCAATTATAAACGCCGAAGATATGTATCAGGAAAAATGTAAACTTTTTTTGAAATCGCCTTGCAAAAATACTTTAGACTCAAGGGTTTCCGGAAAACTTTTTTTACGGTCTAATGTATTTATGGAAAATTAAAAATTTGTGGGTTTGTTTCCGTTAAGTAGGCCCACCTACGCGGGACCTACATTTAAAATTTCAAAACTTCTGGTGAACTATCCAGGAATGTATAAAAAATAATTTCACTTAGTGCATATTCTAATGATNACAAAAAAGTTCGCCATACACCCCTGATTCTAAAATATTCATATTTTTTTTTATTTTTCGCCTAATGTAGGGGTCGCCTTAAAAAATTTTTCGGTGACACCTAAGTAAATAAATTCGGATGTAGGAAATTTTCCAGAAAAAATTCTACTGCTATAATAAAAATAGTTCCTTTGCAAAAGTATAATGATTTTTGATGAGCTTCAATTTACTGATTTTAGGGTAGTACGTTAGGGTGATATATCATCCTTTAAAATCCAATTATAAACGCCGAAGATATGTATCAGGAAAAATGTAAACTTTTTTTGAAATCGCCTTGCAAAAATACTTTAGACTCAAGGGTTTCCGGAAAACTTTTTTTACGGTCCAATGTCTTTATGGAAAATTAAAAATTTGTGGGTTTGTTTCCGTTAAGTAGGCCCACCTACGCGGGACCTACATTTAAAATTTCAAAACTTTTGGTGAACTATCCAGGAATGTATAAAAAATAATTTCACTTAGTGCATATTCTAATGACCAAGATAGTATACAAATATGTTAGGAAAAAATAAATGTTACTGCTAATTTAACTTAGTACCTACTTACATAAGTGAAATCTATGGTGCCAATCTGCTTATGGAAATATTTGTCATTTTACAAACTAAAAAATAACAACATTGAAACAACTTAACGGTAGCTGTACAAAATATCAAACAAAACCAACTTAAAGTAATATTCCAATTTCAGTGCTAAAAAAACAAACCAAGTTGAAGATTACAGTTAACATACAAATGAAAAGAATACATATGCATACATATAAGAAAAGAACTAATCAAATAAAATACTCCTGATGGCGTATCCAAAACAATTGCATCAAATAAACCGTATCAATATGGTCCACTATCTTTTTCGCAATCAATTCTTTTACCTCATCCTGACCCTCTTTGGCGGCAATATGCAAAGCCGTATACATATCCTTGGTGGTGGCATCCACTTGAGCGCCATGCTGCAGCAACAGCATTACAATATCAACATTGCCGAGACGAGAGGCAATATGCAACGGAGTTTGTTGCTCGCGTGCGCGTGCATCCACCTGAGCGCCATTGCGCAACAAAATGCGTATAATATCAGTCTGTAAATGGAAGCAAACAAACAAAAGAAATAAACGAGAGTTAAAAGTGTTTCTCTTCATCTACATATACGTTAATCCCCACCCACCTGATTGGCACGCGCAGCCAAATGTAGCGGTGTCTCACCGCGTACGGTCGGCACATCCGGGCTGGCGTCATGTTGCAGCAAGTAAATGACAATATTCATACAGCCCATAAAAGCGGCCACATGCAATGGTGTCAAACCACTCTCTGTGGTGGCACTAATACTGGCGCCGTGACGTAGCAGCAACTCCACCACCTTTATGCGATTCTTCTTGCATGCAATATGTAACGGCGTGAAACCGTTAAGCGCACGTGCATTGGCGTCGGCATTACGATCGAGCAGCAGTTTGGCGACACGCACATGTCCACAATGCGCAGCCACATGCAGCGCTGTTAAATAGTCCACCGTAACCTCGTCAACGGGTGCACGGTGATAGAGCAAAATGCGTGCGGCATCTACGTGCTCACCCTGTGCGGCCATATGCAACGGAGCGAGTCCGTTCTTTGTTTTGGCGCTAATCGGTGCGCCGCGCTCGAGTAGCATGTCGACTACCTGCTCGTGACCAGAACGTGCTGCACAATGCAATGGCGTTAGACCGTCACGGGTCTTGGCTTCAATATTAGCGCCCTTCTCCAACAGCAAGGAGACCATGTTGGTTTTACCCCACTTGGCGGCCACATGCAACGGACTAATGTTGTGCTTAGCGGCGAAGTTAACGTCGGCACCTTTTTGGATTAGTAGAGTGGCAATGGCTTGATTGCCATAGTGGGAAGCAATGTGCAGTGGTGTAAAGCCAGATTTGGAAGTTACATCGGGATTGTGATCGTTCTGTGGGAAATAAAATAATTTAACGATTACGGAAGTATATTTTGTTTATAGATGGAAAACATCTTTCCACTTTGTACTCACATCCAAAAGTAGTGTGGCGGCCTTTACATCGTCCTTCTTGGCCGCAATATGCAATGCAGGCAATCGCACCTTGCCGCGTGTATCACTTTCCAAGAGCACAGCCACGACCTTATCATGTCCTTGCTGCATAGCCACGGCCAGTGGCGTGAAGCCGTCTTCAGTGGCAAGACTTTGATTTGCGCCGTTGGCTAACAACAACTTCACCACCGAATCGTGATTTTCCTGCGCTGCCATATAGAGTGGCGTAAAGCCATTCTGCGACTGTACATTCACGGAGGCATTGTGCTCGAGCAGAAGTTTTACTACCTCCTCTTGACCGGCGAGCGAAGCAATATGCAGTGCAGTGTTACCCTTCTTGGTTGCGCTGTCAACGATAGCGCCGCGTTTCAACAACTCAGAAACGACGTGTATATGTCCGTCCTTGGAAGCCAAATGCAGTGCGTTTAAGCCGTTCTGTGGGCGGTAGCAAAATCATTTGGTTAGAGTAATAGTGTGAACTTTTATTTTCGGCGTACTTACAGCATTGCTGGTGTTAATGTCAATATTATTTTTTAAATGTTCCAAAACTCGTTCCAGATTACCAGCTCGGGCTGCGCGTAGAAATGAAGTGTTTCCATCGCCCTGAAAATAGAAATTCAGAGTCAATAAAATTTCACAAGCAAAAAGATCTATAGTATTTTGCTAGATAATTAAAATTTTTTCTTTGGCTCTCTTAAATTTCCTTATATATAATTAAGCTTAGTATAGGAGGTTGTTTGATAATTGAGTGCGTATGTATTAGGGATGTATGATTAATCGATTAAATAGTTCTTTAATTAATCAGATCCTGATTAATTGGTGTTAAAAAAAAATACTGCAACAATTATTCAGTTTTCTGATTAATAAAACGAATTAGATTCTGTTTAATTAAAATGCAATTAATCGAGAAATTTGTCTCTTTGATTAATCAAAAAGTTGTATTCTTTGATTAATTGATTAATCAGATTTCGATTTATCAGCTTGTTCGATTAAGTGATTAATCGCGCATCTCTAATATGTACATTGTATATGTTTGCCAAGATATTTCTTTCGCTTCTTCCCTGTGACATTATACTTCTGCAATCTCAATAGCGATGACTTAAAAAGTTGTGTGTTCGGTAGGCACATAGAAGATTTTAGCATCAACAACAACAACAAACAACAACAATCTTTATCTCATTGAAATTCCCTGCACGAGTTCTGTATTTTCAACATTCTAGTCCAAATCAATGTTTCCTATTATCCGTATCGAGGTTTAGCCAGGCTGGGGCCCTTCACAAGGTTCAGTCGCGAACGGAGTGATTCGGATACCGGGCGACCTTCAAAGCTGATCAACCATACTCGCAACAGCGAATCTCCGCCAGGGCGAAGGCAACTCGTGGGAGTAATTATCTATACATATATAAATACGCCACAAGAAAATTTCGAACTCCCTTTTACAGACTAAAATGTGAAAACCGATATATCTCTAAAGCCAATTATGCTGAGGAACTGAAACTTGGCACAGATGCATTAATTGTAACCACCCTACTTACGCCGAAAAATGGCAAGTATTGAAAAATGGGGCGTGGCACCGACCAATCAAATTGAAATTCTCATATCGCTTATTTCTGGAAGCGCTTATGCTAAGCTTCTGAGATTTGGCATAGCTATTTATGATATAAATAGCGTACTTATCGCGAAAAGTGGTAGGTTTTGGAAAAGGGGGCGTGGCACCGCCCAAGCGAATTGAAATTCTCATATCGCTTATCTCTGGAACCGCCTGTGCTAACATTCTGAAATTTTACACAGCTATTTATGCTGCCAATAACGTACTTATGGGAAAAGTGGTGCGTCGGCCGATTCTTTGCCGATTAAACCTTGAATATAATTTCATTTCAAGAACAAATGCTTTTATAAATTTGTAGAATAACAAAAGAAAAACAATCAAATACCTAAATAATAATATCTCATTCAAAAATCGGCCAAAAACGGCCGATGCCGATTCTCTTGGCCGATACTAGCCTCGGCATCGGCCGTTTAATCGGTCGGACTCTACGAGGCACCCCCATACTGAACTTTTCACATCGCTAATCTCTGTAACCACTTATGATCTTTACTGGAAAAACTTAATTTCAATATTCCGCAGCGAAGTCTACGGAATCATAAAATTTTCTGGTTGGGCACGGCTAAAACTAATTATGCTTGTAATGCTCCGATTCTGAGAACATTGGGAGAATTTAATTCGCTTTCAATTCTTAATGGTCTTGACTTTTCTTCAAAATACCATTTCAAAATGTTATTAAATGAACTTTTTAATTAGTCTTAAGTGCTCTCTAAATTTTCTCTTTGTAATCTGTAGTTTCAATAAACAGCTTTTTGATTAAAAGAGCAGATATTGGACAATTGTGAAAAATTCTAGGCGGAGGCTGCTCTTCCGAGAAACTGCTTGAGCTTGTATTGTCTGCCTAGATAATACTCCCTTGGGGTAAAATATCTATTGAATAGTAAATGTTAATTATTAAATTCGATAATTTATAACTTTATACCTTTCCATATTTCGGCAGTTTGGCAAATATTCAACAATAACCGATTATTTGTTCCCTCAAACAGAGCAATGGATGCATACAGTATAGATAGGCTTATGTACATGGAACCTGGGTTTATCGCTTTTTACAATTTTGTGAAGGTTAATTGAGCCGTGTTCATTCGTAGAATAGTTTTTATTAGGATTTTCCTAAATTTAGAAAAAATCTAGAAAGAGCTAAAAGATTTACCGAAAAAAGCTAGCAGCCAAATTTAAATTTTTCTAGCTTAACGGTGAAAAAACAGCTAAATCTAGCTGGAAAAGCTAAAATGGCAACACTGGTACGCACCTTAGACAGACTTAGAGCCATTTCAACAATATTAGAGTGGACTTTCTGCCCATGTATACATTCACATACGCAAAACATTGGTATCATTTGATGCGAAGGCGAATGTCGAATACGAAAANGACTTAGAGCCATTTCAACAATATTAGAGTGGACTCTCTGCCCATGTATACATTCACATTCGCAAAATATTCGTATCATTTGATGCGAAGGCGAATGTCGAATACGAATACGTACGTAAAATGATGCGAATCATTCGCATAACGAATGCGAATGAAAATATTCGCAACATTCCTGATATGTATATAGGGAAAACTTGGAAGTTAGGGCGGGGGGACTCGAGCCTGGCTACCTGGCTACGCTCATGCACACATATGTAAAAACATTTACATGTTTAACACCGTGCGACAGTAAATTTTACAAAATACAAAAAAACCGCGTATTTACTTGTTCTCTCTGCCGTCAAGATTTTTTTTAAAGGACTTTGAAAAAATATGATTAATTCAAACAATTATTTAAAAAAATCAATGCAATGTAGAATAATAATGCGGGTAACAAATAAAATAGAAAATTTTGTTTCATTAAATATTATTGAATTTTTTGGTGCATAAGAGCGAATAGGTATGGAAAATGTCCTCATCCTCTTTATTAGCTTAAACAAATAAAATGAATTAAAAGCGCATTTTCAGTGTCTATTAACCAAAAAACTTTAAAGTTTCAAAAATCCTACAGCATTATCTCTTTCATTTCACGAAATTCGGACTACGATGGATTCAGTGATAGCCCTGATTGATTTCCTTTTAAGTCGCTGGAGTGATACTATATGAGAAGGGAGTGAAGAAATAAGAGGGTGATCTTCATTTTTTTGTTGGTGTGCCAAGGCGTTATTTTTCTATTCCGAAAGCAGCAATAGGGATTTTAAGGTCACGGTGTATTTGTTTATTTCTGGCATAAAGCGGAGTGTCCATTCTAAGATTTGAGGGAAAATACACCCCCATTCCTTTGAATTCAAATTTCCACTATTTTGTTCTCATAAGTACTGATTTAAATCTTTCCTCATGCTATTAAAATCTTTTAACTTCTTCTTTTTTGCTGGCAAAAATATTAAATATTATTCCGAACGTAGCACCTGCAACGCCAGCATTTTCCCATATCTAATTACTTTCTTCGTACACAGAAATTAACAAAAAAAAACTATTTTTGAGCTCCTTTGTAGCGAAGGCTTCGTTGTTGAGGTGTCTTTTGTTTCGTTAAATAACAGATTGGCCACCCCAACTAACAACAACCCGAATATTAGTAAAACTTTTGTTTCCTCTTAAAACANACCCCCATTCCTTTGAATTCAAATTTCCACTATTTTGTTCTCATAAGTACTGCTTTAAATCTTTCCTCATGCTATTAAAATTAAATTTTTTAACTTATTCTTTTTTGCTGGCAAAAATATTAAATATTATTCCGAACGTAGCACCTGCAACGCCAGCATTTGCCCATATCTAATTACTTTCTTCGTACACCGAAACTAACAAAAAAACTATTTTTGAGCTCCTTTGTAACGAAGGCTTCATTGTTGAGGTGTCTTTTGTTTCGTTAAATAACAGATTGGCCACCCCAACTAACAACAACCCGAATATTAGTAAAACTTTTGTCTCCTCTTAAAACAAAACACACCGCACACTTGCCAAATGGTCATTCAACTTGCGCAGGTGCATTAAAAAAGTTTTCCCATTACCACCCAACCACTCAGCTTCTAAGAAATTATGTATGTCGATTAAACGTTAACAATGTCAAACTGGCGCTTATTTACATATAGTTATATGGGCATGTGTAGGTATAGGTATAAACATAAATGCACTTGCATACTTAGTATATGCAACCAGCTGTTAGCACTTATACATAAATACTAAACAAGTTGTTTACTAGGGCTTTGTTTACAAATTTTTGGGGTTGAATAGTAGTATGTTGGGATGTATGTGTGTATACACAAAAAAGAAAAGATAACTTTTCATTTTCGAAAGTTTCCGAAAAGTCGAAAATGACGTCATTATTTCGAGCGTATGACAACATCTGCGAAAGAGAGTTTCGAACTACGAAATTACGTTCACGAATTTATTTCGTTTTTCTTCCTTGCCGAAATTGAAGTGTCCACAATACCAAGCGGCAGACAGAGACTTTTTTGTAACTTTTCACTGTTTGTCTATGTGCTTTATGCGCAGGTTTGTAACTACACATATAATTGAAGAAACACACCCCTTTAGACACTGAATTTAGGTATATGTATGTATATATGTATATGCATTCTGCATTTATGTAGCGAAAGCCTCTTTTGTAATAGATATACAAAAGAATGCACAATAGATCCCGGAAGTAATTTAAACATTTTTTTCTAAATGTTTACCTAGCGAAATAAGAATGCTTGAGGTGATTCGCTTCTAAAGAAATTGCAAAGAATGTGAACATGT